TCGTACCTAAGAAAGCACATCTGATAACCCTCTCAGGCTTATCCAACCGATTGAAGGATACAGAAAGGCCATTTTAATGTTGTTTAATGGTATTGTCTTAACCATTAAAGAGGCCCTCTATTCTCCACGTTTTGGAAGAACATTGCTGAGTTTTAAAGACATTCGAGATAATCAATATCATATTGAAACCACTAAAGAGAATGGTTCTAAATTTCTATGTATCACTTCTTATGAGTATGGCTAGAAGCGTATTCACGAGAAGCTGGAACGTCTCCCGAGTGAGTTGTACATCACAACCATTCGTGGCATAAAGACCCACCATGTGGCTGACCCTGAGCTCGGGTTCCAAAGCACTTTGCTGCTTTGACATGGTCGTATGAGACATCCCAGACGTGACATGATGCGCCGTATCCTCAAATCATCACTTGGGCTTCATGTACATCCCTACGTTAGATTTCCACCATGCAAAGCTTGTTCTTTGGGGAAGTTGAATACTCAACCCTCAATAACAAAGATTATTCACAACCCATCTAAGTTTCTTTAGAGGATTCAAGGGGATATTTGTGGACCTATCCAACCAACATGCGGACCATTTAGATACTTTATGGTGTTGGTTGATGCATTGACACATTGGTCGTATGTCTGTTTATTGTCCACATGTAATGTTGTATTTGCGAACTTCTAGCACAAATTATTAAGCTCAAGGTTCACCACCCTTATTATCCAATCAAGTTGATTCGATTGGATAATGCTGGAGAGTTTACGTCACATACTTTTGACGACTATTGCATGTTAGTCGGACTTTGGTTATGCGAACCAAATTGTCGGTATCTGCCTGGGGTTATGCAATATTGCACGCAACTATGTTGGTCCGCCTGAGGCCCACTGCTACCCAACCTCAGTTTATGTGCCACTAGCGCCACCACTATGTACCAAAATGGGTCCTCAGAAAAGAATAAGAATCTATGTCGGTTATGATTTGCCATCACTTATTTCCTATTTACAACCCTTGACAGGAGATCTATTTATCGCATGTTTTGCGGATTGTGTCTTTGATGAGATAGTTTTCTCATTATTAAGGGGAGATAAGAACGTAACGTTCCTGTAGACGAATTGTCGTGATATGCTTCCACTATGTCTTATTTAGATTTCCGCACTGCCTAGTTTGAAACTGAAGTGCATCGTATTCTATATCTTCAGAGCATTGCTTAAAGCATGTCAGATACTTTTACTAATCTAGCAAAGGTGATGAGCTCACATATACCATCTGCAAACGCACCTGCAAGAATGAACATACCTTGAGTACGCCGTAGTACCGGCTAGGAAGGCCCAACTATCCCTGAGGGTGAAGCAGCCGCACCTAGTAGCTAGCCAATCATCTACCTACCCTGAAGCATGGTAGACCCCATGGTTCAAAGGATTCAGAACCATGGAAGAGGGAAACGGCACAAACTAGTGATCCTAGTATGAGTCTAACCATCGCTCACTCATCTGTTCCAACGCAGGAGGTTATCCCAGATTACGGTAATGTCTTAGATGAGACAACCCGACCTCCTGAGAATCGCTAAATTTCGATCCACTACACAGTATTGGATGAGGTTTAGAATCGGAATAACATGATTGTCTACGATGCATTTGCGTACATAGTAGCTACTGGCATCATGCTTAGTAATGATATTGAACCATGTACCGTCGATGAATGCTAACATAGAACGGATTGGTTAAATTGGAAACAAGTAATCAAGGTCGAACTTGAATTCGCTTGCGAAACGTAAGGTGTTTGGACCTGTAGCTCATACTCTACCACATGTAAAGCCCGTGGTCTACAAGTGAGATTTCGTGAGGAAACATAATGAGAAGAATGAAATAGTGCGACACAAAACACGCCTCGTAGCTCAAGGCTTCTCTTGATGCTCTGGGATTGATTACGAGGAGACGTATTCCCTTGTAATAGACGTCATAACGTTCCGCTACCTTATCAGTTTGGTAGTTTCTGAAAAACCGAATATGCAATTTACAGACGTGGTAACCGCATATCTCTAAGGGGATCTAGATACAAAAATCTACATGAAAGTTCTAGAAGAACTTCCATTGACTAGTTCAAATAGTTCTAGACCATGAAATACTCTCTCTATTAGATTGAGGAGATCACTTTACGTATTGAAACAATCCGGGCATATGTGGTATAATCGTCTGAGTGAATATTTGACAAGTCAGGGTTATGTGAACAACGGACTATGCCCATGTGTTTTCATTAAGAAGTCATATTTTGGATTTACGACAATTGCAATTTATGTTGATGACATGAACCTAATCGGAACTCCAGCAGAGCTTAAGAAATTGCCATTCACTTAAAATTGGAATTTAAGATGAAAAATCTTGGGAAAACTCAATATTGTCTCGGCCTGGAGATCGAGTATTGTTCAGATGGAATCTTAGGACATCAATCGAATTACACCCAAAATGTGTTGCGACATTTTAATAAGGATAAAACGAAGCCTTCGAGTACTCTTATGGCTGTTTGAACTTTAGATGCTAAACAAGATCCCTTCCGTCCTAATGAGGATGAGAAAGAGATTTTGGAGCTTGAAGTTCCATACCTAAGTGCAATTGGTGCTTTATTGTACTTGTCTCAATGCACTAGATCTGACATCTCATTCACCGTTAATCTTTTGGCTAGATACAGCAATGCACTTACACGCAGACACTGGAATGGTGTTAAAGACAGTTTCCGTTACCTTAAGGTACAACGGATTTGGGTTTGTTCTACACCCACGAAACCTCGAAAGTAGCCACCGCCCCTTCGGTCCTCAAGTTGATTCCCACTTTGTTGATTACGCAGATGTTGGTTATTTGTTTGACCCAAATAGGGCAGGTTCTCAAATGGGCTATGTCTGTACTGTTGGAGACACTGCTATATCTTGGAAGTCTACCAAGCAAATGCTAGTTGAGACTTTTTTGAATGGTGCTGAGATCCTCGCCCTGCGTGAAGCATTGCGTGAGTGTTTTTGGTTGAGGGCAATCATGGAACACATTCGAAGCACAAATGGTCTTACTACCATTGTTGACCTTCTTACGATGATCTTTGAAGACAATGCAACATGTATTAAGCAGTTAAAGAAGGGATACATCAAGGGAGACAACACCAAGCACATAGCGTTGAAGTTCTTTTGTTCTCACCAGTAACAACAACATCAGAACATTAAAGTCAAGAAATCCGTTCCCAGGACAACCTAGGCCTATATCTTTACCAAGTCATTGCCCAAGTCTACTTTTCAGAAACTCGTCCAAGGAATCGGTATGCGTAAATTATCTGAGTTGAATTGCTTGTAGTTATATTATTTGGAAGTTACGTCTAACTCAGGGGGAGTATCCTAAAGTATACTCACTTGATCTTTTGTACTCTTTTTTCTTACAATTATGAGCATTTTTCCTACTGGGTTTTTGCTACCTAACGAGGTTTTGATGAGGTACTCATCCTGGGATGATTATACTCCGTTGAGTTCACTACTTTCGTCCTGTTTGACGTTTGTTTTAGACATTATGCATGCTTCTCACTTTTCTCCTTAGTCTAGGGGTTTTCACCTGCCTTAGGTTTTACCATAGCGAGATTTTATGAGTTTTACTACTAATGCATACTTTCTTTAAATTTGAGACTCACATTTGCTCGTTGTGCCGATGACTTCATCAACTGTTCTACATCAACTGCTGAAGATCTGATGCGATGTTTTGTTTGAGTATTTCCACACTCAAGGGGGAGTGTTGCAGTCATATTTAGAATATGAATGTGATTGTGTAAATCTTAGTGTATCTAGGGATATCTTGGGATATTCCCTTTAGTAGTTATTATCCTATTAGGGTAATGATTTAACCTATCGTACTACTATAAATAAAGGCACAATGGGGTGATACAACACACACCTCATAATTAAATCTCTCTCTTCTCTCTCTCTTGCCGCCGGCCTTTATCCCTTACTAGTCCTAAATACAATTCAATCAAATAAGCCGACAACAGGGTTAATTAAATTTTATGTTTTTCAAGTTTGGGTTATTTTTAACATGGGCCACGAAGTTTCAATTTTCTCGTATTGCACCTTAAGGTATTGAGATTGTGTCAATTTATGCTTTCAGTCTAATTGCTTATATAATAACTCATTATGCAATGTAAAAATTGCTGGAGTTTTATAACAATTTTTGGTCCTCATGTGACTCTACCACTTATTTTCTCATGACTTCGATTGACGTCCTTGTCCAAGATCAAGTTCCTGGTCCTTATTGGATATTTTACAGGTTATGCTAGGGAAGTCAAAATTTTAAACTAAATTTGTAAACCAAATGACGTGGTTGTTGATGATTGAATTGTTACTTAAGTGTTGATTAACATACTTATTTCCTATTGATGGACACATCATTCAGTTTGCAAATTTGATCTAAACATTTGGTCTCACTAGCATTATCCTATTTTTATATGAGTAATGTTATGTATTTGCAAACTAAATGATGTATTACCAATAAAAAAACAAACACGTTAAATAACACTTAAGTAATAATCTAATCATTAACTTTTATGTCATTTAATTTATAAAATTTAGTCTCCCTTGCATTACTCTTGTAATATAGAATATGGCAACAACTTCTTTACCAGATGCGTTTTTCTTACCACAAACCACACCATACTTAGTATTACTGAATTTAAATTCATTCAATATACATATCTCAAAATTTAAATTTATTTAATAGTGATAAATGGGGTTATAAACATCACTGTCGGGTGGTGAACAAAATATTCTCTTTACCCGGATTAACTTTCCATTTGAATCCAATCAAAATCCATGGCACATAATATTTTCGAAATGTTAATGTCATAATTTGAGTGGGGAAGAAGAAAAAGATTAAATCATAATTAAGTCATATATTATATAGCAAGGGAAAGTAAAGAAAAAGAGGATTATATTAGACCGTAATTAAGGCAATTTGGATTAATTTGGATAATTCAATAAGTTTAGTTCGTCGGTCCCCGGAAAATAAAAGCAAGTAATAAAGGCAGTTTTCTACACTTTTGGCAACAATTATTCAATGAATTTTGTGACTCAGAAGAGAGACTGTGACGGACTCTGACTCAATAGCATTCAACTCCAACCAGATAAAGTCCAACCCCATCTTTCACCAGTTGCCTCCTCCTCCTCCTCCTCCATGCAAACATCACCACCACCCCCAACACGTCTATAAATTCCAGACAACTCATCACAACTCTCTCTAAAACTTCTCACAATCTTCCTATTGTAAAAGTGAGGATTAGGGTTCCGTTTCCCCAACAGAGCGACATATATAGACATAGAGAAAGAGAGAGTCACGGAGACAGAAAGCGTGTGTCTGCCACCCAGCTATGGAAGTTGAAACCGCCGACAAGAATTCTCAGGCCGAGCTGGAGCAGCAGGTGAGCCCGCTGAAAAAAATCATCCTGGTCGCCTCCATTGCCGCCGGCGTCCAATTCGGGTGGGCACTGCAACTCTCCCTCCTCACCCCCTACGTCCAGCTCCTCGGCGTCCCCCACACCTGGGCCGCCTTCATCTGGCTCTGCGGCCCCATCTCCGGCTTGCTCGTTCAGCCCATCGTAGGCTACCACAGCGACCGTTGCATCTCCCGCTTTGGACGCCGTAGCCCTTTCATCGCTTCCGGCTCCGCCCTCGTCGCCGTCGCCGTCTTTCTCATCGGTTACGCTGCTGATCTCGGACACCTCACCGGCGATTCCCTTGAGAAAGCCACCAAGCCCCGTGCTGTCTCTATCTTCGTGGTCGGTTTCTGGATCCTCGACGTCGCCAACAACATGCTGCAGGGGCCATGCAGGGCCCTCCTCGCCGACATCTCTGGATCCGACCCGAAGAAAATGCGGACCGCCAACGCCCTCTTCGCTTTCTTCATGGCTGTCGGAAACGTTCTTGGTTACGCCGCTGGGGCCTACAACAACCTCCACAGAATGTTCCCCTTCACCATGACCAAAGCCTGCGACATCTACTGCGCTAATCTCAAGAGCTGCTTCTTCCTCTCTATCGCCCTCCTCATCATCCTCACCGTATTGGCCCTTACCAACGTGAAGGAAACAACCGCCGACGTCGCTCAGCCAGACGAGCCAGAGGAGGAGTCAACGACCACTTCGAAGGTGCCATTTTTTGGTCAAATGATTGGGGCCTTTAAGGAGTTGAAGAGGCCAATGCTGGTGTTGCTTCTGGTGACGTGTCTAAACTGGATTGCGTGGTTCCCGTTCTTGCTGTTCGACACTGACTGGATGGGGAAGGAGGTGTACGGCGGCCAAGTCGGTAAAGGGCGGCTGTACGATTTGGGTGTGAGGGTTGGTTCACTTGGCCTCTTGTTAAACTCTGTCGTTTTGGGGTTCATGTCCCTTGGGATCGAGCTTCTCGGTCGTTGGGTTGGTGGTGTCAAGAGATTGTGGGCCATTGTCAACTTCTTGCTCGCCGTTTGTTTGGCCATGACTGTTTTGATCACTAAATTGGCTGAGGCCAGCCGACACGGTCACGGCGGTGCTGAGCCCCCGCCGCCACCTGCCAGTGTCAAGGCCGGCGCATTGTCTCTGTTCGCCGTTCTTGGTATTCCTCTGGCGGTAAGTATTCTTGATTATTACGTACAATTAATTTTGGTAAATCTTGTTGATACATTGAGTAAATTCTTATTTACTTTGTTACACAAAAGGGGAAAAAATATTGTTAGTGTATACAATATGATAATTTATTTATTAATTTCCTGAAAATTGCTTGACAAATGATGCTATGATTTAGAACAGATTTTCACTTAGGACCACGAAGTTTTTTTACTATTCAATTTTTGGGTGGTAAAATTTTTGCCTGGTTTTTGAAGAACAAATAGGGTTATCCATTATCCAGAAGGTGTTTTGTTTGATTTTATCCAAGGTCATTTAGTGCATGCAGATAAGGTTTCACCGTGCATTTACTAGCAACATTTACTAGGATGAGGAAACTTATCAGTGCCAATTGATTATACATGCAAATCTGACGTATCGTCATTTTGATTCTTCGAACAGCTCCTCAATTTGCGGTTTTTTGTAATTAAGGGGATCAATTAGATTTTATCTGATTCTTTTTTTACTTTTTTTACATCAGGTACGATATTCATTTATTGAAAATTAGAAATACGTACAAACATGGAGGATAGAGTACAATTACATGAGTCTCGATAAAAATTTTGTCGGGAATTTCAATTAGATTTTATCTGTTTCTTAACTTTCCTTTGTTTTTTATTTTTATTTTTATTTTTATTATTATTATTATTTTTTTTACAAATAAATTTATCACAATTTAAGGGATTGATTAATTATGTGCTTGGGTACAATTACCATGTTTTTCTTCTGTCAATACCCACGTCCCATGTTATTCTACTCCTTTTTATCAACAACTTTTCTTCATCCTCACAATTAAATTAAACAGAACAAAAGAAGTTTTCATAATCCTCAAAGCATTTGATATGTTGAAGGGAAAGTGAAAGTGAGATGCATTCCATTTCCACAATTAAATAATTCCACCCATATGTGATGTGTTTGTATTTGTGACAATTAAGTTTAGGGATTAATATTAATTAAAGAACATTTGGCTCAAAGATGAGTATGAACTCCTACTCAAAATTTCTCAAAATTGTTGGTTGACAATTTATAGAACCTTGTGTTTTATAATCAGAACCGTTCATATTATAAATCATTCTATAAAAATCACCTCTACAAAAAAATCAATTAAAACTAAGGTTATTTAATCATCAAATTGTGTAAAAACAAACGAATGGTACTTGTAAAAGTTTAGTTTTAATTTTTTCTTTTTTTGCAGAGATGATCTTTACAGTGTGATTCATAGTATGAATCACAAGCACAAAGCTCCGTGATTAAAACACTAAAAATTTTGAGTAGGAGTTCCTACTCATTTTTGAGTGGCCAAGTATTGTTCTTAATTAAATTGACCTATTCTAATTAACTGTCAGCTAATCATCGTTTTTGTTGTTATCTTTACATAGGTGACATACAGTATTCCTTTTGCCCTGGCATCCATATTTTCCAGCGATTCTGGTGCAGGCCAAGGTAAATTAACTTAATTTTTACCCGTATTCTATTAAGTTTGGAAAACCTGAATTCCTTTTTTTTATTAAAGGACGGCATTTGTTGATAAATAAATTTAAGAACTAAACCATTATGTTTTGGTGATTACTGAATGCAATATTTTCTAAATTCTGCTATTTTGGATCTTTGTATTAAACAGGGCTTTCATTGGGAGTCTTAAATCTTGCAATTGTCCTACCACAGGTAATGTATCCCTAGTTTCATCTCTTTAGTAAATTTTGGTTAAAAAAAATACATGTTCGCTTAAATTTTAAATCAAACTGTACAGTTAATTACTAAATTATTGAACTTGCAGATGTTTGTGTCCGTCGTAAGTGGACCGTGGGATGCTTTGTTCGGTGGTGGTAATTTACCGGCATTTGTCGCGGGAGCGGTTGCTGCCATAGTAAGTGGAATATTGGCTCTCTTTATGCTACCGTCTCCGCCACCCGATCTTCCATCGAACAACAATGCAGGAGCTGCTGTTGTTGCCTTCCATTGATTTGCTTGCCCTACGGCCTCTAGCTTCGCACTTATATATAATATAGTTAATAAACTCTTTCTTTTCTATCTTATTCATTTTGGTTTACTCCCTCTTTATCTTAGCAGGTGTTGTGATTGTAGCCGAATTCTCTTTAAAAATCCAATATGCGTTAATGGCATATCAATTACTGTATGTATCCAAGCCTAGCTAAGATGGATATAGTCGCAATTTTTCTTTCTTTTATTTATTTTCTTTCAATATTTTTGCAATGTCTTCTTTTTAACATTTTAGGCGAAACGGTAGTAATTTTATTCAAAATGGTCGAGGAAACATTCAATCTAAGAGCTCATCTTAGATTAAATCCAAAAGCTTCTCAAACCAATAGTAATCAAAATAAAAATTTCAGCTAATGTGGGCCAATTTATGGCCCAGACGTTGGTGGATCTACGAGCGTGTGATACTCCAGATTCAAGAAAGCACTGTAGGCCAGCCTTAATATCATCTTTGATCAAGCCAACTGCAGAAAAACTATTATGCAGACTACCAATGGCTTGAACAACCTGGAGCACATCACTCTCAAGGGCCATATGCTGCCATTGTTGCAAAACTTTTGAAACACCATCTCGAGCAACTATAACTTCACACCCTACTAGAACTTAGCATTCGCCGATGACATTTTGTCCGAGGAACAAAATTTCATCGGGTAAATAAACTTAATCCGAAGAAATGACAATCACATATTTAATTTTTATTTTAGGTCTTATTGTGATTTTTTTTTTTTCAAATGCACTCCTCAACCCTAGAAGAATACAATGAATGAATCCGATCATCAATTTAAAATGTTAACACTACTAGCTACCACAAAATCTTACGTTTTGCTTAATGGCCGTCCTCACTGACATCTCAAGATCTGACCTAAAGAAAATGTGGACTGATAGGGATTTTACCACAATTGCAAACAGGTTAAAAACTCCTATATTACTTGCAAGAATGACAAGGATATTATAGTATAAACGGTTCTCACAAGGTCGTTCTCCACAGAGATTATTAAATAAATCGAAGCAAATCAAATTCCAATTAATTATTGTAAAGTAGAAAGTTGAGATGATTGATTTTTATGACCTAATTTAATAAAACGAATTTAATTAATAAAAGAAACTAATATGCAATATTTAAGATGAAGAAAAAGGAAGCAGTTTTGTAGAAATCAAATTAAAGAAAGCACTACGGTTCCACCATCACTTAGCAATCCTATGTATTTTTACCCATTACTTATGATCTATACATGCCACTTTGAAGGTTAGGTCTTCCTAATTTACATTCTACTTGGAACCTTCAACATAGAACGTATATCTAACATGCAACCCGTCCGGACATTCGGATCAAATCTGAACATGAAAGACTCATTATGCTCTAGGAAAACCCTTTGAAAAACCATGCAAGCCCTAAGACATGGTGTTCATCTTAAGCGAAATTACAATTATTAACCACATGAAGCCAGCGCCAATTTCCGGGAACCTTCCGACCAAAATTGCATCAAATTACTTTTCTAAAGATCCTAATGGTGATCAGGCATTAAGGCAATTAGATAGTTTTAATCACGGTGATTAGTAATTCAAAGTGCGCATGCAATCAATGATAAGCAATTAAATAAAATCACATACTCATGCTAAGGCTCAAGGCTTTGCCCTAGCAAAAGGAATTAGTTACGCATATTCATAATTAAAATCATAGAAAATATTATTAAGAAAAGGATTGAAAACACCTTAAAGTAGACAAGAACCCTAGCAATTCTCTCTGTCTCCAAAGTTGCATAAAAGAAAGCGTAGGGAAAAACTATAGACGGCAAAGCCTTAAGAGCAGTTCCACCCCTAACACAAATGCGCCAGCACCCAGCGCATTTATCCACTCAGTGAATAGTGATAGACCCCAATGAATAGTAATAGGCCAAATGCATCTCCACCCCTAACAAAAAATAGCCTAGTCAATTTTATTAAAATATTATTATTTTTTATTATAAAATCGAAAAGCACACCATCCCAAAAAGTGGAAGTTCCCCTTCCCGATTCTTTGTAATTTTGTTGCATTTCTTTCCTCCTTCTCTTTTTGTTCCTTTGTTGCATCCTCACCTCCTCAGCTTTTGTAAATGGAGTCGGAGCAACATGATCCTTTCACAAGCTGAAATTTGAAAAGAAAAGAAAGAAAAAAAAACCAATTCAAATTTTCCAGTTTGCCAATCAGGTGTTCAACTTAGAAAGAAATGATGTGGATGATGGGATTGAGCATCCAGAGCTTACTGGATTTGGCGGTGGCCAGAGTTTCTACAGTGGTTGGTTTGGGGATCTTTGCGTTTATTGCTTCTATTCTTTGCTCTGCCACTTTCTTCTTGATCCACCCCTTGCGTCGCCGAGCAATCCACTCTCGATGTTCGAGTCCTCCTGTTGGAGGTTGAAGGTTGTGGGAAGAGCTGGCGTCAGCATGGCATCATACGGGCCAGTCCCAAGGTCTGTCAATTTTGGGCTAGCCTAGGAGACCAGCTTGGGCTGGAGAGACTTCCCTAGGTGCCAGGCCATTTTTTTGGCTATGTGCCGGCCTATCCCACCCCCGGTGGAATTGCTCTAAAATCCCCTCTAGCTATCACACAAACCCTAGGAACCAAGTCTCTTATTTCCGCCAGGAAGCTAACTAATAATAAAATATATTAAAACATAAAGTCCTAATTAAGTTAGGATAAACTGCACAGAAACTGTCCAGGCACGTTTTAATCTCAAATATCTTTCAAATCCGGTCTAAGATAGCTTGTTTTAAAGATCAGGACGTTCTGAACACATCTCCAGAAGCCCACGAAACCATCTGAGATCATCTTGGGCCCCAAAAACGCAAGTTAAGCCCAAAACCTCACTATTCCAGCACCGCACATTGCTCCTTTATTTATCATCAGAAAATAACCGCTTGGTGGAAAAATCTGATATTTTGATATGATTAAGCAAACTGACTCACGAACGTCCTCCAACAAGAATTACTCCAAAATTCGTCCATTTGGTCTTGTTTTGCTCTAGAGGAAGTCAAAAGTCCTATATTGAAAATACAATTCAAAGTATCAAAATTCTTTCAAAATATTAACCAAAATATACTAAGAATAGGGTTAAATATATAATATAAAATTGACTCATCACAGATTGCCAACGCCCTTTTCGCCTTTTTCATGGCTGCCAAACGTCCTCGCTTACGCCACCAAAGAAAATATGAACAAGTTTATATGCCTAGGTTTGTTGATCCTACTCGTTCGAATCATTTGTGTAAACTTCATAAGGCCATTTATGGCCTCAAGCAGTCTCCCCGGGCATGGTTTCAGAGGTTGAATTCCTTCGTTATTCGCACAAGTTTTATTCAAAGTCAAGCTGACAATTCTACGTTTGTTTACCAAGATAATTCCCTCATTATGGTCTTGCTGCTTTATGTGGACGACGTAGTTCTCATTGCAGTAATTCGTCTGCTTTACATTCATTTATTCGCACATTGGGCGCTGAGTTCAACATCAAGGATTTGGGGTGTTTGCATTATTTTCTTGCTGTTGATGTTAACTACCGCACAGATTCTATTCATCTTACTCAAAGTCCACAATAGATCTTCTCAAACTCAACAATCTCTTGGACTGTAAACTTGTTTCCACCCCCATGGCCTCCAAAGGTACCCTTTCCCGACTCATGGTAATGCCCTTTCCCAACTCATGGTAATGCCCATTACTGATCCTACACTATTGACAAATGGTTGGTGCCCTTTAATGTCTCACTATGACCCGTCCTGACATCTCATATATATGTTGTCAATTTGTCAGGTCTCCAAGTGATGTTCACCATGAAGCTATCAAAAGAATTCTTTGTATCTCAAGGGAATGCTTGGTGTTCGCCCTCTTGTTCGACGGTCACCTGCTTGTTCTTTTTTAATTGGGCAGAATGCCCCGAAACCAGAAGGTTCACAATAAGGTATTGTGCATTTTTTGGGACCTAATCTTATCTTGTGGAGTGCCAAGAAGCAACAATAGTATCTCTTTCGAGTACAGAAGGAGAGTATCGCGCCCTTGCCTACGCCTGTCCAGATACCATATGGGTTCAAGGTCTCCTCTCTGAACTTCGTCGTCCAATTAGTCACCCAGTTGTCCATGAACGGTTTGCTTCTGGTAGTCACAAAGTTCAGTCTATCCCCTTTGCGCTTCAAATTGCAGATGTCTTCACAAAAAAAGGTTACTCTCTAAATGGTTTGAACGACTTGTTTTCAAGGTGTCAAGTTTGCGGGGGAAACACAAGGCCTAAAGGTCTGACCATGCATAAGTTGAAAATAGATGAGAAGACACAGTGATGTGTGCTAATGAAGCCTATTACGATTCGTCTACACTCTAGCTAGGTAGAATCAGAATTAATGTAGCTCGTTTGGTGTTTTTATGAAGCTATATAGTTTGGTTTCTAGCTACTGACATTTGACTTATGATCAAATTAACTTGAAATAAAAATCAAAACTCACTGCAAATTGACACAACATGAAGCTTAAAGGATTATAATTCTTTGAAGAGCGAAATTCTGGAATCCATCAGTTTTGAGAGAAATCCTGGTAGACATGTATTTATTACATCTGTTACCTATTATTTATATTTGTTAGTGTTTCATTTAGATTAATTTGGAGTTAACTACTATACTTTTGTAATTTATATGTATTAGGATGTGTATTGATAAAAAGTGGAATTTGACAAGGTTTTGACACATTCTATATGTTTTAATCTTCCTAATTACATTGGTTTCATCCATTTAATTAATCGTTATTTTATTTGCAGGTTGAAGATGAATAGGTGGGTTGATTTTTAATTATTTGGACCAAGAGCCAATACTTTCGATGGAGGGCTTTTCGAATTATTCGAGAAGGATGAATCAAATTCACTTGCCCAAAACCAAATTCTAGTCCGTGGCTTTTAAGTGAGGCAGTGCAAAGGACAATTGATATAGAAAAGGAAGGATGAAAAGAATTAAAGAAAGATGGACAAGATGATTACATTAGGCGGTGGAGATATCTCAGGAAAGAATCTCAAATTGATTGGAACTCCTATTTTTCAGCAAACTTGGACTGGAGGCACATATATTAAAGTGAAGATACGAGCAGTAGAGAGGGACTTGGACTTCCTTTGGCATGGTACAAGGCAG